ATGAATGGAATTTTTTGGTTTGCCCCTGGGGCCTTTTTTTTTGGGGAAAAAGGGGGGGTCGGGGTTTTCCCGGGGCCTTTCCCCGGGGGGCCGGGGGGGGGGCAAAAAAACCCCCCCCTTTTTTCTTTTTGGGGGGGAACCTGGTTTTGGGAATTGGCCCCGGGGGTACCCTTTCCCCCCGGGCAGTTTTTTAAAACGAAAGGGGGGGGTTTGGGATTTTTTTTGGGGTTCCCCCCCGATTTTTTTTTTTTTTGGTTTTGGAAAAAATCCCCCCTTTTAATTTTTTCCCCCAGAAGGCCCCCCCCCCCCCCCCCCCCCCCCCCCCCGCGCGCCATCCATCCCTAACCTCCCCCCTCCTGACGCCCCGAGCACAGGTAGTCCTCCTCGACCATGGCATGTACCGTCGCCTAGACCCAGACTTCCGCCTGACATACTCCAAGCTTTGGAAGGCGTTCATGACGAGGGATACCGCGCTGGGGGAGCGCTGCGCCGTCGATCTCGGGGTGGAGCCCGGCCTCTACGACGCATTGTCGCTCATCCTGACATGGCGGCCTACGTCCACGACGGCGCGGTGAGTTGAGCGAGTGGTGATTGGGCAGGCGGGAACGAGATGAGACTTGCAGCAGAGACTGACTAATAAGACGTTTGTTTGAACGGGGTGAGACTCGCACTGAAAAAGACGTTGTTAGAACGGGATGAGATTTGCAGCAGAGAGAAAGGCGTTTGTTAGAACGGGATGAGACTCGCACTGAGAAAGACGTTGTTAGAACGGGATGAGATTTGCAGCAGAGAGAAAGGCGTTTGTTAGAACGGAATGAGAGTCGCATTGAGAAAGACGTTGTTGGAACAGGATGAGACTCGCGTTGAGAATGTTAGAGCGGGATGAGACTCGCACTGAGAAAGGCTTTGTTAGAGCGGGGAGGGGCGGTATCGACAATCCGGCGGGTACGGATCGCGTACAGTACGAGGCGCGCTGGCCGCGTGGCGCTTGACGTCCCTCCCTCAGGCGAAACGTCGGTGATAAGAGTGTGCTTTCCACGAGCCGGACTAACGCAAAATGTGGTCCGGTGTATCTGTGTGTGTGGTTCTCTCTGTCTGCAGAACCGGGCAACGAATAACGGAGGAGGAGCGACAGGCGCTGGTGGCCAAGTACAAGGTTATCTTGTCACACGATAGCCTAAACGCCTTCCTAGAGAGGCTCCCCAGAGATATGCTCTTCGTCATGCGCACCAGCGATCTTGTCCGGAGTCTGAACAAGGTGCGCGAGGGGCCGTGGTGTTTATTTTTTTTTTGTGTTTGTGGTGGTGGTGGTGTTGATGTCTGTGGGTTTTCCGTGACAAGCGTATTTCTACACCGCCGTCATCTACCCCCCGCCGTCTTTTTGTGACTTGATCTGTACGAGAAGATTTACAGGTGACCAGGCTTGCGTAACGTTTTCGCCTTTTTTTCCCCGTCTACCCCCCCCCCCCCCCCGCCGCCCCGCCTCTAGAGTGATGCATGATCATTGCAAAATGTTCAAGAAGGCAAGGTAGTCGAGAGTACGCGATAAGAAAGGCAGTGATTTTCGCATGCCAGATGTGGCAGCAATCGTCACTTTTCCTCCTCCAGATTTTGGTCGAGTCTTGACAGGGAAGTACTCCGTAGCCGCCGAACGTGTCGAGGGCAAGTAAGGAATGAACACACGCACGCGGTAGCCCCCACCCCACCCATCACCTCGTCACTGCCACCCCCACACCCTACACCGTCACCCCCGCCGCATGGTCAACCCCATACCCCACTGTCACCCCCACCGCATCGTCACCCCCACACCGTCATCACCCCTGCCGCCCCGCCCCAACTCCGCGCGGGCATCTCCCGCTTCAAAAATCACCACGCAGGACCTCGGAGGTACGACGAGGGATCGACTCATCGTGCTGGCAGAGAGTGCCGTAAGAGGTCTCAACATCCCCAACACCACCGCTGCCGCCGCCCCCGCGATGGAAACCCCTGAAAGGATGTCTCGAGAAGAAGCCGAGGGTTTCGTGGAGAGCAGCAAGGCCCTCTCCGAGGAGGAGGCGTTCCGGGAGTTCTTGGAGAAAGAGGTAAATTTTGCTTTTTGTTCACACGGAGTTTCAAGAGCCAGATACTGCTGTACTCTCCCCTTACATCCTGCTGTTTTTCGGCGCACCAGCAGTAAGTTTGTGCCAATAGCACGCGACGGTGAATGCACTCCGGCCACGAGGGGGTACAAGGATAGAATCACGCAAGTTGGTGTCTTGATTGGTGATGGCTTCTTGTTGTTGTTGTGATTTTTCTTGGCCTCGCGTGTCGAATGAGTGCGGTTGGCTCTCTCTCTCTCTCTCTCTCTCTCTCTCTCTCTCTCTCTCTCTCTCTCTCTCTCTCGCTCTCCGTAACATACGAATCCCGTTTGTCCGACATGTCGCCCGCGCGACGTCTCACTACTGCCTGTATGGGGCCTCTTCTTCCGGTTGATTCTCGTCGCTCGGTCCTTTCGTTTCCTCTTTGATTTTTCACAATGTACCCTTTTGGGGGTAGTAGTTAACCTGTGACCATGGAGGACGTCCGCCTCAGGTGAACCAGTACTAACTACTATTATGTTGGGATATTAGAAGGGACCTGGTGCTGAACAGAGATCGGAACGGCTTTTAATATAGGAGCGGAGATGACAACATGATCTCTGCCTTAAGAATATGACGTCCCTTCTTGGTTTCGTTCCTCTCCGTCTCTCGTTTGTGTGTCTCTCCCCCTCCCCTCTCCGTTTTATGTGCGTCTCTGTAATCCTCTGTGTGTGTCTCTCTCTCTCTCTCTTCCTCTCTTTGTCTGTGCCTCTATTTTTCCCCCCTCCCTCTCCTCTACCACCACCCTGTCCGACACACACAAAACGGTTTACACAGGGGCTCCGTCACCCGGCGAAGCTCGCCCTCGGCAGCCCCCACGCCGGCGTTAACCGCCTAGTCTCCTCCGAGCGGGGCATGACGGCCCCCAGAGGCCTGTCTTGGTGGGACTGGGCAGACCTTCGAATCCGCATCTGGACCATCGACAGCGTCCTGAGGTTGGTGTGGTGGTGGCAACGGCGGAAGTCGTTCACCGACAGGGACATCGGATGAAGGAAGACGCTGCCTGCCCGCCTGCCTTTTAAGGTTTTTGGTCGCGTAGTAATTACTCTACACCAGCCCCGTGTTACCCACATGGACAGTTGTAGCGGCTGCGGTTTGGTATGCGCTGAGGGCTTGGTGTTCAAAGTGCGACACGAGCCCATCGGTGACGTTGAGAGGGCGTCGTAGAGGGGAGTCAGCTACCTGCCTGCAGGGATAAAATTGATGTCTCAACGCGGTGGACCATAGAAATTATCATCGACATCGTCTCAGTAGGAGATGTCGGCGTAAGTTAGCCGTTCCCGCTAGCCTGAAGTTCGTTGTGTAGCGTTGACCGTGCAGCGCGTGCTCGGCCGTTAGCCCGTGTTGTCGAGAGGCTTGGTTCTTGGGTTCCAACCTATCAAAACCTTTGTGTATACTGTAGATGAAGCGTGGTCTCTCCACCCGCCCCCTGAAGAAAAAAAAAGGTATATTACCGGAATCACTACTGCTGTCCATTGGAAAGTTGGAGAAACACAACGTTCCGCTGTGAGCTGTTAACAAGAAAAGAAACACTTTGTGGAGGGGCGCGTTGTCCGTCCGTAAGTTTCTTGGGAATCCCGCCGAGAGCTCGTGAGGGAGGGAGGGAGGGAGGGAGGGAGGGAGGAGGATAGCCCTTGTTTCGTTTTTGCGTCGGTCGGCGTCTAGACTACCGTTCGTTCGAAGAAACAAATCCCATCTATCCCGGACTCTCTGTCTGGGGAAGAGATGATTATTTCGTGATGCGTTTGTAAGAAAAAAAAGAAGTGATCAATCCTTGGAAAGAGCCGTTGTACCACAGATTACGGTCGGTCGTATGCATAGAGTGAGCGACACAAGGAAGGAAAAGGAGGACAGAGCGACGTGCAGTCGAGGAACGCCACACCACTGGCCGAGAGTATTCGCGACCTATCGATCTGTCCCAGCCAAAAAAAGCAACACTTTGAGTGCACCCACGGTGAGAGGGGTACAAGAGACGACGATCTGCGTAGACGGCCGGCTGTGTCTCGTCTGCCTTCAACAACCAGCAGCAGCAATGTTCCATGATTGAAGTCTTGATTGAATTTGAATGACGGGACGGTGTGCTATGCATACCACCACGATATCGATACATCGCACTTAGACGGTTCCAAGCACGGCAAGACACAAAGAAGCGTCGTACGAACGGAGGAACCACCCATCGCACGAACAAAAGACGTGAAAAAAAAAATCAATAGGGCCAAAACATTCGGTACCAAGATCTGGCAATTCAAAACAAGCAAAACCGTGGGTACCTGTATGTAACCTTGGCCCACAACGAGACGCAACCAACACAGGCAAAAACTGTGGCACGTGCCACCAATACGTGACACATATAGACGGAGGCGCATGAAAACCGGACGATTTCTCCTGCTCAACAAGACAACGGAAGAGAAATTCGAAGCAACAAAATAATGACAAGAGCTAGAGGAGAGGGTCGGTCAGCAGACGACAGCGTCTCGACGCCCCCCCCCCTTTCCCCGCTTAAAAGACGTGGACCCGCACTACACCCTCTATGAGCCCAACACAACCAGCCAGAGCAGCGTCGATCGCGCCTTGTGCTCGCCGCCCAACACTCTTCACCATCCCCAGCGCACTGACAGCACCATCTTCCACGCAGCGCATGTACGGTGCGGCCCCCGAACATGGGTGGTGGGCGCGACAGAAAAATATTTTGGACAATTGAGAAGGCAGCAATGCGAGGTGATGAAAAAAATACTCGCTTACTCGCAAAATTTGCGGCCGGGCCTTCCCCTAAAAACGTACTACGTGTACGGCAAAGAAAGAGAAAAAAACAACAACAACGCGAGAAAATACCAACCCCCGGTGAACATCTAATGGCCTGGACTATTTTATTCCTCCTTCGCAGCTTCAACTTCGCGACGATGTCACCGCGGTGTTGCGCTCGGTACTTGCAACACCAGGCTATTCCTTCGAGGGCATCTATTTTAACTCTGATCTGCTGTTCAGGCGCGAAATCCGCGCCCCTGCATACATATTCCCAACCTCGGACCCCTCCCACCCGTTCCCCTCACAAAACTCCCGAGAGCCCCAACTGCGTGGCGCAAGTCAAGGAAAACTCTTGGGACCAAAACACCCAGCCACCAACCACCCTCCTCTATCAACCTGCGGCCTGTTTTGATTCTCCGATATGCACTGCGTGGCGTGTCACTCAAGACAGCGACGACGACGACAAATTTAACAACAACTTAAAACCGCAATGCTCCAGCTTGCTATAAAGCGAGCAAGTTCATATTCATCATCATGCGTCGACCCAACAACTAATCTGACAAATCTCCGCTACGCGCGCGAACAAGGATAGCGAGCTACAGCTATTGTTCGGGAACCGCTCGCGCTCAATTCTGTCATGGCGATTGGTCAGCGGGACACCTGCTTGGTGGCATGTCAAAAAAGAGCAACGCAGCAGGGAGGGGAAAGAATCCGTGAGACAGCGGAGGGGGATAAGCGTTGAAAGAGTCTGCGAACTTGTTTTTGTGTTCGTGTTGGTGGTCCGGGGCATGTGGGGACGAGCGCAGAGCAGCACGTACGAACAACCCCAAGCCTAACCAATACCCCCCAATGGCGGTGTCGTACCCGTACGTAAAGGTCTGACTTCGGGGTGGGATGCGGGGAAGAGAACGGAAGGAATCACCACATGTATCGGAGAGGGCAAAACCACAAAGAACGGTTGGAAAAAAACAAATCGAAACCAGATGCGCGTTGTTCGAGGAAAACCAAGGGTTTAGGCGTGCCCAACGGAAAATTTGATCTGAATCCGGAGACGGAATCCGTTCGCTCCAGTCTTCTACGCGGCCCTCTTGTTGAGACGAAGCCCCTCGAACTAGAACCAGTGCTTGCGTTTCTTGCTCCGCTCGAAGACTTACTGTGTTTTCACTGCAGCCGGCAACCACGGGTTGATGCACACCAAAGCAGCAACACACACACAAACACTCTTTTTGTTGATTCAAAAGTCAGCCGGCTGGTGCGGTCGATGCTAAAACACACACCCACACACACACCTACACACCCAAACCAACCCTTACCTTCGTCCCAAGTTTCCGGTCGTCGCATCGTCCCCCCCACCACCACCACCGGCGTCAACACGCCCCCCCTTCGGCGTCGGCGACCTGCTCGCGTCCTCCCCGCCCGAGCTCGAAGACAGGGGCGACCCGCTTCTGTCCGAGCCGCTGCTCCGCGAGCCGCTGCTCCTGCTCCTTCTGGCGGTGTCGCCGGAGGTCGTGCTGCCGGGCATGACACTACTGCTCTCGCTGCTCTCCATCCACGACGACGACGAGCACTCCGACCCTTCCCCGCCGCTGCCTCCGCTACCGCTGCACCCGCCGTCGCGGTCGGCGCCTCGGCTGCGGCGGCGCTCGCCGCCGCCGCTGCTGCCGCCGCCGCTTCCGCCGCTCCGTTTTCTTTTCGCGCTTCTTTCTCGTCGGACCTTCTGCCAGGCCTCGTGGCACCCGCGGGAGAGGTCTCGGTCAAGACGGTTTTGGTTCTCCGAGATCGCCTGCTGCTCCCGCTGCTGCTGCTCCGCAGTCGTCGCGGCGGCGGCGGCGGCGCGCTTGCGGTGGTGGCGGTCGGCCCTCGAGGGCGAGGAGCGCGAAGAGTTGTCCGTCGTCGCCGAGTCGTCATTGTCGTGGTCGGCGTTGCTGCCGCTGCCGCCCGCGCTGCTGTTGCTCGGGCTGCCGCTGCCGCAACTGCTGCTGCTGGTGCTGCCGTTGCCGCTGCTGGATGCCGGCGCCGTCTTCGACGGCGCCTCCTTGGCCGGGAGGCAGGAGGAAGGCGGCGACGACGACCCCGGGTGGTGGAAGTGTTGCTGCTGGCGCGGCTGCGGCTGGCGTACGCTATCCTCCGGGGAGGACAAGCTCGCGCTGGCCCACGGAACGAACGGCGTCGTGACCGGGCCCGCCCCGGCCCTGCGAAAGCGTGCCAGCTCGCGTACCCCAGCGCCGCCGCCGCCGCCCCCGGCTCGGGCACCGGGTATGCGTGCTGCTGCGGGTCGTGGGGAGGAAGGGCGAGCATCGGCGTCAGCTTGCCGGCCAGGGCTCCCGCCGGCGGGGGTCCGTACGCGGCCGGCGGCCAGCCCTGGTAGCTGATGAGGTACTGAGGGTTGGAGTGCGGCATCATGCCGCCGGGGGGAGCGCCGACGCCCTGGTGCTGCAAGTAGGGGTTCTGGCCCTCCTGCTTGACGACGCCGTTGCCGTTGCCGTTGCCGGCACCGGCGGCGCTGCCGGCGCCGGGGCCGCCGACGCGATCGAACGCTTGCGGGTAGTACCCCACCTGCTGCTGCGAATGCCCGGGATGCATGAAGCGCTGCTGGGACGGGTAGACGTGGCCGTGGAGGTGCGGCGGCAGGTGAGCGGCCGCCGCGGGGTGCAGGAAGGCGGCGTGGTTCGCGAACTGCTGCATCAGGTGGGGGGGAGGGTGGGCGTGGTGGCCAGCTCCGACGTGAGGAGAGCCGGCGGATTGCTGCTGGCTGTCCTGAGAAGCCGGGGCGGACGGCGTCGACTGCTGCTGCTGCGACGGGAAGTTGGGCATGTGCCCCATGGGCGTCGGCGACAGTTTCATCTTCATCGTCGACGAGGCTGCGTCAGCACCGCCGTCGAACCCGTTCCTGCCGCTGCCGCCGCTCTTGAGACCACTCCCGTCCCCGCTACCACCACCCCTGCTTTTGCCGCCACCCCTGCCGCTCCCTCCTCCGCCGCCGCTGACCGACGTCTTCATGCTGTCCCGCAGCTTGCGGTTCTCCCGCTCCAGGCGGGCTATCATTTCCTCGGTGGCCTCGAGGTGCAGCTTCTTTCGGTCGCGGGTCCGCTTGGCGTGCATGCGGTTGCGCTCCCTGCGGATTTGCTCGAGCTCCTCCGGCGTGCACTCGGACCTCGTCTTCTGGGACAGCTCGAGCAGCCGCTCCGCGTCTCCCGGGTTCCCCACCCTAGGCTGCTGCTGCTGCTGCTGCTGCCGCTGCTGCTTCTCGTCGCCCTCGTTCGCACCGCCGGTCCCGCCGGCACCGCTGCCGCCCGCGGCGCCGTCCGAGCTGTTCGCCTCCGAAGACGTCCGTCCGCAAGACGACGAAGAAGCCGAGCAGCTAGTCCCCGCCGTGCCTTCGCTCCCGTCTCCGGCGTCGTCACTCTCCACGTTGCCGCGCAGCATGCCGGCGCGTGGCCGGGAAGCCCCACCGGAAACGGACGCCGCCAACGCCACGTGGTGATCCCGGGAGGCCTTGCTGCCGGCGTTGCGGCCGCCGCCGCCGCCGCCGCCGCCGCCGCCGCCGCCCGACTGCAAGTCTTCGGTTCCTCCGCTCATGTCGAGGAGGATGCTCGCCGTGCGGCGGTCGGTGATGGCCTGCCGGAGGCGTTTCTGCTCCGCCTGGAGCTCGGCCGAGCGGTTCATGAGGAGCTGCAGCTGGGCCTTCTTGCGCTGCCTCGTCTTGCGCGCGTGCAGCTGGTTTCGCTCCCGGCTGCGCTGAAGGCGTTCCTCGGCGCTGAGCCGGCGGCGCTTCCCGGTGCTGTCGAGCTCGTACTCGGCGGCGCTCGCGTTGTCGCCGCCGGCGGTGTCGGCGTCGCCGCCGGAATCGGCGGCGGCGGCGGCGGTAGCGGCCGTCGGTTGTTCGAGCTTGTTGTTGCGGCCCTCGTCGTTGTAGCTAGAGCTAGCCGCAGATTCGGTGCTCCGCGGCGACTCCTGGTCGTCTGATGGGGACGGCTCGCTCGGCGTGGACGTCGCTCCTGCTCGGGGTGGTTTCGTCGCTCTTGCTGATGCGGCTGCCGCCGCCGCCGCCGGTGTTGGAAGCGGAGGCGGCGACGGCGGCGGCGAAGGACTTGCGCGAGAGGCGGTCGAGAGCGAGGTCGCCTGGGGCGCAGGCCACGCCCCACCGCGGTCGGAGTGGCTCGGGTAAAGCGAAGACCAGGACGTCGAGTCGATCGGGCCGGCGGCAGCGGCGGCAGCAGAGCCCGCCGTGCCCGGCACCAGCTGCCGTGATGACCCTCCACCAACCGCCGCCGCCGCCGATGCTTCTGCCGCTGCCGCTGCTGCTGCCGCCGCCGCCGCCGCCGCCGCCACGCCTGACGATGGTGTTGTTGCCGAGCAAGGCTGCTGCTGGACCTGGGCAAGCGCGAGGGCGCGGTTTATCGCCGCGAGGCGATCGGGGTCGAGCGACCCCGGGCCAGCACCCTTTTGCTCCATCGCCGCCGCAGCCGCTGCCTGCGGGTACGAGAACATGGGCGCGAAACCCGGGTACGGGTAGAAACCGCCGCCGACCGCTCCCGCCGCCATCAACGCGGTGGCAGCAGAGCCAGGGGCGGCAAGGTCTGGTTGATCGCTGCCGCCCCCCACCCGCCGCTCCTCCTTCTGCTGCCGCTGTTGCCGTTGCTGCGGAGCGCCCGCCATCCCCATGTGGTACCCGGTCACCTGGGTGAGCTCCCCCCCCCCGCGCTCCATCCCCACTCCGCCGGCGGTTGCTGCCGCTGACAGCGGCGGCGGCGTCGGCGCGTACTTTCTCCCCGGCGCCGGCAGCTGCTGCTGCTTCGAGGGAGGCAGCAAAGGCGGGCCTACTCCGGATGTTGGAGACGGGAGTGGCGCCGGGCAAGGCCCGGCTTGATGCCGCTGGTAGGCCGTGTTGGACATGTTTCAGTCGCGCTTGTTGCTCTCGTTATTTTCCTGTCAAGAGAGGAAGGTGACGAGAGCATAAAAAATCTTTGACACCAAACTATTACACCGAACGAAGAAGTACTTGAAAAAGAAAGAATTTTGAATGGGGGAGAGAATGAGAGGAATAAACGTCAGTGCGGACGACAAGACGATGACGAGGAAAAAAAAACGTTTCTCGGGGAGACTCAAGTCTCAAGTCGATCCAGGCGGGCAGAGAAATGGAGATCGCAACTCGAGATCCAGGGCAAGGCAGAGCAAGCGCGCGTTACCCACGCGCTCGGTGCTAGCCGCTGCTTACGCGCAACCACAAGCCACGGCGCTCTTTGGCTCGTCGGCAGGACAACAACAAGGCAGAGAGCAACATTTGGTGCTGACATAGTGCCTCTTGGCCTGCTCCTGCTGTGGTGGTGCTCCCAAGACATGTGAATTGCAACACTGCTCCCGATGTCGGTTGTGTATGGGTTGGAACCTAGCCTTTGACCTGCGAACGAAGGACCTGGCGCTGCTTGGGAAGCTACGCTAGCTCGAGCAGGGCCCCGATTCCCCGCCTCGCTGCCGGTGCACAGCGGGGTTGAGCCTGCTGCTGCCTCGACACAAAACACCCCAGCTGCCCCTCTTGACCTTTTGATTCGGAAGCGACTCAAGTTTTTCGAGAAAGCACAGCACCCGCCGCCACCGTAAAGCCACCTCCAGCCCAAAACGCACCTGGGACCAAAAGCTAGCTAGGAGATCTGAGTATCCTCTTCTCTTGTTGCACGTGTGCCGCCGTGATAGCTGGGTGATTGTCGTGATACCTGGTCGAGTTTTGCTTGAACCTCTCGCCGGTGGGTGGATTGCCGAACGAAGGGCAAAACGCCAAATGGTGGGTGCGTCAGCTGCCACCTCATCCTTTGTTACGGTTGGGAGCTATCGGCCAGGCTGTTCGCAGGCCAAACGTGTCGCGTGTCATTTTTCAGCGTTGAGCAAAAAAAAAAAATCCAACTTTCAGCGTATCACAGCAGCAGTACCACCCCCCAGCTGCTTCTTGCCATCACTGGTTTCGAGGAGGACAGGCTCAAGCAGACCTCTTCTTTACAGCCCGGTGTCTCTCAATCCTCACTGGAAAGACTTCAACGCGTCCCTTCAGACGGAGTTTTGCCTCGGAAGGGCAGTGTGTGTCTCTGGTGTTGTTATGTGCCACGAGTTTTGCATCGTCTAGAAATGCAGATGAGCTGGACACAACCGGTGACGTGTTTGTACAGGTACAAAAGAAGCTGAACATGCACCTGCACCTAAAAAAAAAAAAAAAGCAGGTAAAAGACACTGCTGTACACAGATGAACCATCTTTCAGCAGCAGCAGACAGCAGGGTGTAGGGGACATCATCGGAAGTAGTGCAGCAATAACAACATGCGTGCATCAGATATAAATTGCCAGACAGGAGTAAGTAGGAGAGTGTGTGGGCATATCTCCAGGAATCATCAACGAACAGAGTGTTCGAACGGCGTACTCCATCAACGATAGTCTAGACCAACCGCTGGCTGTGTTCCAACAGAACAAACGTAAAAGAAGTTGCTATTATTAGCATCAAACAGCTGTAACCCATTCCCTGAGAGAATAAATACCAGCTCGATCGAGACGATTACCACAGCTGCTGCTGTCTGTGTGTTTACAAAAGTCAAATTGAGTCGATTTGTTGTATGAATGCAAAAAAAGGAGGCATACATGGAAGGAGCACCACATGAGTAGGGGATCGATTGTGACTAGGTTTATTTAGTACAACAGGAGGAGGACGATCCGCCCTGCTTCTTCAACAAGTCGGACACTCTCGACATACAGCAGAAGCAGGTAAGTAGTTTATCGACGCTACTGTGTACTCCTTGGCGAAGAATCGTTGGCTCTTGTTATCCATCGGCAGCCATCTAGACTACTGTATCTACACAGCAGTGGCAGTAATAATAGTGCAACGAAGCAAAAAAAGAGGGTTTCGTGTTTATCTTCAAAAAAAATGTTGAACAGCAGCAGTCTTCTGCCACCTGCTCTGGGCCTTCAACAGCCCCACGTTGCTACAGTCAAAGTCACATATAAATGAAGTGTCGAGTTTCCAGGCTGTTGCTGCTGCAGAATACGCACAGCAGCAGCAGCGCACGTACGTGTGGTGTTCGTAAAGGCCTGCCCAAATTTTAGAACCGAGCTCCTCGAACACTGACACTGATGAGTTGAGAACTCCCGAGTTCTTCCAAGAGAAGGGAGGGAATCTGTCCGTCGACGCATAGCTCAGGGTTGGCAATCGCACTCACTCTCTGTTACGTTCGGAAACAACCAGTTTATTTTTCATTCCATCGACGTTGCCGTCACTCTTCTTGTCCACCTTTTCCCGTATCTATTTGGTGGAGAGCTCCCATGGGAATACCCGTGAGCATCCACGAACATGCCTGCCTGCAAGCGTCAACAACCCGCATGGAACCCCATGGAACTACGCAGCAGCATCTAAACCAAATGGGGAGGGGGGGGGGGACGGAACAAACCCAACCGTCAAAAATCGGCTGACCAACAAAGACGCAACAGCAGGGGAAAAGAAACAACGAAACGTCTACAACATCATTTTTGCGCGTCAAAAACTACAGCAGCATAGTACTCTCGACAAACGCGCCGCAACACGAGAGCGAACAATAGGGAACAGAAGCTGGACAGCCAACGCCGCGGAAATAATCCAACGCCAAACAAAAACTAGCGCTGACTGTGCCGTGAAAACAATCTAATCCAACGCACACAATGAGCCGATCCAGAGGGTCACGGCTCGGCTCTAAAGAAACCGTGCGGATACCCGTCGGCAACTGACGAGGAGACACAAAAACTTGCTAACTAACTGCTAGAGCAAGTTTTTGAATCATTGGGTTTCGATACTCTCAGACCCCCCCCCCGCCCCCCCTCCCGCCCCTTCTGAAATAAAAAAACAGTATTAACAACGTCCCGGTGTCTGGACGGCTTGTTTTATGTTCTCACACGAGAACACTCACGGCAGTTGGACACACACCGCTTGGTCAGCCAAGAGGGAGAAAGACCACTCGTCGCAGTAGCCAGTTAAAATTGTCGTGATTACTTGATACACACAGGGATCGCCTCGTGTGCGCCCCTTCTCCCCCACCATAAAACACAATTGCCACGTAACGGTTATTGTCATTCGTCCTCGCGTGGTGATGCGCACACGAGGCAAATTTTTGCGGCCGCGATGTTCTTGAGTGTACACTGCGGAGACCGAGGGACAAGACAAGGGAGCGAGGACGGGAGGTGACCGAGCTGGGGTAAATGAAAGGGACAAGTACGCACCGCCAATTCCAACGGGATGCAAGTTTTCGGCGATTCCCGTACAAGCTAGTTCAGGATGGATTCCATGTTAGCGTTCTTGATCCCGCAATGCGGCCGACGTACTTGCCATCGGTCAGCCGATTAGTGCGGTCGACGCAAAATCGAAAAACCCATACACACATCAGACATGAGCAAAACAACGCCCTCCCGCCCGTAGCACCCCTTCCTCTCGCACCTTCGAACAGCTCCACTCCACATCTGTATATTTCGCCACCAAGCCGCCGCCGTCGACCACCCGCTTCAAGCCTTCCGCGGAGGTAGCCTCGTTATCGGCGCCCCCTTCCCCGCACATAGACCCAACCACCCCGGCGGTCCTTTTCCAGTCAGCCCTGTCCCCAGACAAGACATCCCGGTCGCCATGCCCCCCCTCCCCGCCTCTCTCCAACAAACCGCCGTTAGCGTTCCAGTCCAAGACGCGCTCGGCTGTCCCCTTCCCCACCGAAAGGGCCCCGCCGGACCCTTCCGCGTCAAAAAAGTCTTCGCGCCCCCCGCCGCATTTGGAATCGGAAGACAGCGGGGTCGCGAAACCGTTCCCGGGTGAATCCACGGGGCCCCCGGCCGCAGCGCTCTTCGCCGCCATGAACTCGGCGAGACCCTCCACGCCGCCTTCGTCGTCGTCGTCCTCCTCCTCCGCCACCGAACCCGTCGCGAGCCCCGAATCTGCCGCACCTCGGTATAACGCCGCGGTCATCGCCCTCCCCGACAGTGGCTGCTGTTGCTGTTGCTGCTGCTGCTGCTGCCGCGGCGGTAGGCCTCCACCCGGGCTCACGAGGTCTTCGAAGTCGGACGTGTCGCTGACGGAGAAGGGCGCCATCGCCGGCCGCGCCCCCGAGCTCGGCGTGGCGAAGCCTGACGCCGTTGTCGTCGAGGCCATCGCCGCCGTCGTCGTCGCCGCCTCAAACGGCCGTGGCCACTGTTGTCCTGTTGCCGCCGCTGCGTTCGGCGTCCCCCCTACTCTCAGCGCCGCCGCCACCGCCGCGACGGCTTCTGCCCCCTGCTCTTCCTCCTCGGTCAACGACTCTTCCTCTCGAAACGTTCCTTGCGGCAACAGCTCGCATTCCCGCATCTCGACGACGTCAACTCCGCTCTCACCCTGACCATGCCCCCCGGCACCTTTGACAACCACCGCGCCAGAAGCATGCACGGCACGGGGTGATGCAATCGAGGATTGACTTCTCGAGTCGGTCATCGAAGAATCTCGACCCCCCGCTGCCGCCCCCGCCGCCGCCGCCCCCGCCGCTTCCGCCGCCGCCGCTGCTTCCACCGCTGCCGTCTCCGCCGCCCCCGCCCCAGCCGCTGCTACCGCTGGCGACCTTCGCTCGTCGCCGCCGCCACCGGGTGTCTCTTCAGGAGCTTGATCGGTGCGCTCCTGAAGAGAGGAAGCGGGCAAGGCATGCAGGCAGGCAGGCGCGATCAAATAAAAACGCCGACACAGAACAAAGAGATTAACATTCGTGTATTTCCCGTCTCCATGTTGCCGAAACATGTCGTCCCGATCAAGTACCGCGTGTCAATATAAGCCTGTCGGCCCATCCTTAGCACTCGGTTGGGGTTCGGGCGTTCAGTCAAAGAGCCCAACGTCCACCCGCGCCGTACAAAAGACAGCAGGAAAAGGGTATTCAGCGCGAACATCGGAAGGCGTTCGCATCAGTTGGACCAGTACGGACAAAAAGATCCTGAGCGGGGACCGGAGCATTTTTTGTGTGAAGACGACAACAACAACAACAACAACAACAACAACAACAACACGTTTTCGCATCATGCAGCGCGAAACCGGCGAGTGGCATACACACATACCTGTGCGAGCATATGGAACAAGGCCGTCTGGAACTCCGCTTGCCTCGCCCGCGTCATGCCAACGGAGGGGGCTCCGTCGACCCCGATACCCCCCAGCCCGATCCCATCCCAGTCGTAGTCGGCGTAGTCCAAGTCGCCGCTGCCTTCGCCGGACGCCGCCGCCGCCGCCCCGAACATGGCGGCCGCGGCGGCGGCGCTCATGCCGCTGCCGCCGGAGGCGAAGTGCCAGGGGGGGACGCCCATGACGGTGTTTTCTCTGTCCAGGCCCCACTCCGGGGGCACCTGCAGATATCTCTGGAGGAATATGTACACCGAGTCGAAGAGGAAGCCCGGCCTCGGGGAGTTGTGGTCCCCGTCGACCGTTACGAAGTTCTTGTCCCCGGCGTACGCTTCGCAGATCTGCTTGCTGTTGGGGAGATTTTTCAGGAAACGGGGGGCAGGAGTGGAGGGGAGGGGGGCGGGGCGTGAGACAACCATCGTCGCAGTCCACACAAGAAAAAAAAACCTGTGATAACAGCAGTGGCGTTTAAGAATATCATCACCGTTGGCGTAGTTCTATGGGGGGGGTTATCTTGGGTGGAATACGACAGTCGCCTGAAGGTCATCGAACAGGCACAACAAGAATCATCAATCCCGGGAATGATAAATGCCACGAACGAGCTTCCCCCAAAACAGTTCTGCAAGCTCTCCTCTCACCTGTGGTGGGGCTTGATGAAGTCGTCCGCAAGCCCAGCCACAAACAGCGCGGGGATGAAGGTCCGGTTGGCGTGCTTTATCGGGCACAGGTCTCGCACGTTGAAGTTGGCGGTCTTCGTTACGGTCCCCCGAATCATTCTCATTACCATCTTCACCACAATGCCCGGGACCGTCAAGCCCTAGACAACAAAGCGCGACACCGCGCGCAAGCGGGATGGGTGTGAGCGCAACCCTTGTCCGACAGGAAAGTTAGATATCCCTCCTCCAATGCAATGGCTTGTTCGCTTCAAAGCGCGCAGATGCCCGTACGCCTGACAACCGAGGCTACCTAGCGTGGGCGCACGTGCAACAAGCTCTCGTACGGGTGCTGCCGTCTCCGCTCCTCGGGACAACAAAACACACAAGCTTCGAGGGCAGAAGCGCCTTCCTCCTTACAGCTCCTCCCACCGAGCGACCTTCGCGAAAAAAAAACATGGCCAAAATCGTCTACGAAGGCGTACAACACAACCACCAGCTACGCTATGACAATGGAT